GAAGTTAGATGACCTGCCTTGTCACATAGGGAGTAATCAAGATAAGTGGGATTCGAACTTAGGCTGCTCTTCTCTACCAAGTACTACCATAATTTACACTGATTCATTAGTCTTGAGGAAGAGATGAATGCTTTCTTTTCCCCATTTTACAAATGGGTAAACTGAAACTCAGCAAGATAACTGACTTGTTCAAGGTGGCACAACCAGTAAGTAGAGGAGGCAGGGATTGAATCCAGGTCTTCTGACTTCAAATCTTGTGTTCTTTTAATCATGTGTACCATGCTGGGAATCAAAGATATCTCCTTTGCCCTCTGGAATATTATATTCCATGCCCTGCGGTCCTTTAATGTAGAAGCTGCTAAATCTTGTGTTATCCTGATTGTGTTTCCACAGTACTTGAATTGTTTCCTTCTGGCAGCTTGTAATATTTTCTCCTTGACCTGGGAACTCTGGAATTTGGCTATAATATTCCTAGGAGTTTTCCCTTGGGGATCTCTCTTTCAGGAGGAGATCAGTAGATTCTTTCAATTTCTATTTTGCCCTCTGGTTCTAAAATATCAGGGCAGTTTTCCTTGATAATTTCTTGAAAAATGATGTCTAGGCTCTTTTTTTTTTGATCATGGCTTTCAGATAATCCAATAATTTTTAAATTCTCTCTCCTGGATCTATTTTCCAGATCAGTTGTTTTTCCAATGAGATATTTCACATTGTTTTCTAATTTTTCATTCTTTTGGATTTGTTTTACAGTGTCTTGATTTCTCATAAAGTCACTATCTTCCAATTGCTCTATTCTAATTTTTAAGGAAGTATTTTCTTCAGTAATCTTTTGGACTTCCTTTTCCATTTGGCCAATTTTGCTTTTTAGGGCATTTTTCTCCTCATTGGCTTTTTGGACTCTTTTGCCATTTGGGTTAGGCTATTTTTTAAGGTGTTATTTTCTTCAGTATTTTTTTGGGTCTCCTTTAGCAAGCTGTTGACTTGTTTTTCATGATTTTCTTGCATCACTCTCATTTCTCTTCCCAGTTTTTCCTCTACTTCCCTTACTTGCTTCTCAAAATCCCTTTTGAGCTCTTCCAAGGCCTGGGACTGATTCATATTTTTCTTGGAGGCTTTGGATGTAGGAGCTTTGACTTTGTTGTCTTCTTCTGGTTGTATATTTTGATCTTCTTTTTCACCAAAGTAAGATAATATAGTCTGACTCTTTTTGCCCTGCTTGCTCATGATCCCAGCCAATTACTTGAGTTTTAAACTCTTTGTGAAGGTAGGAATCTGCTTCCAATGTGGAGAATGTACTGTCCCAGGCTTCAGGGGTTTGTACAGCTGTTTTCAGAGATACTTGTAGGGACCTGTAAATTCTTGCAAGGTGGTGTGATAAGGGGTGAGGTGTTTACTCCTTTCCTGGCCTGTGACCACAAGTACTCCTTTCTGTCCTGTAACTGTGAGGAGGGGTTTCTCTCTACAGCCACTACAAGCTCCACCATACCAGCACTCCTTCTCACCTCAGCACCACTGTTCAGAACTGTGACCCAGATCCAAACACAAGCAAAGCAAGAGATCCCTGCAATCCCTCTCTGATCAGCCACTGGATTCCCCCTCAGTCTATGGGCCCGAAGCTTGGGAAGCAGCAGCTTCCCCCCAGGGCATGGGGGAATGGAGCTCTTGGGGAATGGAGCTGAAACCCTGCCTTCCTGTCTCAGACTTTTCCCACTGACCTTCTAAATTGTCTTTGGCATTAGTGGATTGAGGAGTCTGGAAACCTCCACAGCTGCCCGAGATTCAGCCTCTGAGGCCTGCTCCAGGTTAGCTGTGGCCTGCATGCCCACACTGCCCTGTGCTGAGCTCCCAGCCTGGAGCGATATGCCTTTCTGATCAACCATCCAGGTTGTCTTGGGCTGGAAATTTGTTTCACTCTGTCTTTTTGTGGGTTCTGCTGCTGCAGAATTTGTTTAGAGCCATTTTTTAAGAGTATTTGGAGGGATTTTGGGGAAAGCTCAAGGAAGTCACTGCTTTCACTCTGACATCTTGGCTCCGCCCCATAATTCCTGATTATTAAAGGAAGGGAGCTAGGGAGACAAAACAAAAACATGTGAAATGATGAACAAATCCAAGAATGAACAAGTAGCTGCTACATTATGTAGTACAGGCTGGCTTTCTTGGAAAACTATTTTTTTTTTGGCTGAAACTTTACAGCTCAGAGAAGATCATTTTCATTTTGGAAAGTCTTTTTTTTTTTTTTTTGAGACCACAGTAGGACAAGCCAAGTGTCAAATGAGGACAGTCCTACTGGCTGCGAAGGCATATAGCTGTCTGTTCTCTTCCTAGAATCATTGTAAGTCATCAGTGCCTTTCTTTTTTGTTTTCAAATATAGGGTCAGACAGAACTGGAAGGGTGAAGGGATTGGGATCCTTGAAAAGGTCCCTCTAAAGATAGGAAAATTATTTTGAGTATCACCATATTATAAAATGTCTTTATAGTGCAGAGGCAACCATCCAAAATACATCCATGTTCATTTAAAAAATTGATTGATAACTTTTTAAGGAAAATTTTAAAAATAAAAAAATTATATGTATAATATATTAATATAGATTATATAATATATAAAATATGTGATATATTATATATGACATATGATATAATATATTAAATATGTAATATATTATATATGATATATAACATAAACTTATATATAAATTATATATATGAAAATTGTAAACTTGACAAACATCAAGAAAACATTTTCACATAAAAAATAATTGTATGACTTTGTTTTTTAAGGTGTATATTAAATTTAACACAATAGTACCAATCAGTATGTATCATGTGACAAACAAGAGAGTGTGTGCAGTGGCAACCTACCCACCATGTCACATGATGGGCACAATAGTCACTAGTGGAAGGCAGGTTAAGCGGGACATGGACAAAGCACTCATTACATCTTTACTTTCTTTTATAATCTCTACATTTTTCTAGGACCACCTGAAATCCTTTGGTGGGCCATATGTTGGGCATGCCTGGTGTAAGGTATAAGAAGACTAGGAAGGTGAAGGGGAGGGGAAGTTATGAACGGCTTTGAATGCCAGAGGACTTTATATTGGATCCTGGAAGTGATCTGGAGTCACTGGAGTTTAATGAGTAGGAGTGGTGGTGACGTGGTCAGACCCAAGCTTTAGGAAGATCACTTTTACAGCTGAGTAGAGGATGGACCAGAGTGAAGAGACACTTGAGGCAGCCAGCTCCACCAGTAGGCTATTGCAGAAGTACAGGTGTGAGGTGATGAGGAATTTCACCAGGGTGGTAGCAGTGTCAGAGGAAAGAAGGAGATATATATGAGAGATATTATGAAGACAAAATTGGCAAACCTTGGCAATAGATTGGATATGGGGGTGGGGAGCTGGTGAGAGAGAGGTAGACAGTTGAAGACAACATCTAGGCTTTGAACCTGGATGACTGGCAGGCTGGTGGTACCCTCAACTGATCTACTTGTTTATGTGTTTATGTCTCCTTTTGAACTTCTTTCCACTGTCTTTTGTGTATCATAAATGTTTCATAGATGTTCCTTTGTCCTTTTTCTGCAATCACTATCACTATCCTCCATTCTGACCTCACAACAATCCCCGCCTTCCCCACCAATGAAAGCCTCTCGTGTAACAAATTTAGTCAAGAATTCATACTTCGGTCATCTCTGAAAATGTTTAATCATTAGTCTTTCTGGAGTCATAACGGGTCATTGCATTGATTACAGATCTTAAATCTTTCCAAGTTGTTTTCCTTTATAGTATAACAATTATACAAATTGTTCTGTTTCTGCTCACTTCACTCTGTATTAATTCATATGAAGCCATCCTTTTCATCATTTTTATGGCATAATGTTCAATTTCATTTATGTGCTATAATTTTTCAGCCGCTTAATTGATGGGCACTCATTTTGTTTCCAGTTATTAGTGCTCTAGGTTAACTTGTCTCTTGTGTTTCCATTTCAAAGATGCTACTCTTCACTGGGTTTTTCACCAGAAATGCTTGAAGGTTTTCTATTCTGTTGAAGATACATTTTTTTCTCCTTGTAGGATTATAGTCAGTTTTTGAGAGTAAGTTCTACCTACTGTACAAGTTCTACTTGCTGTACAAGAGCCTGAACTGTCTCTTGAGCATGCTTAAATTTTCAGTGTGAGCATTTATACCTCAGAAATCATTAAATGGTACAAATTAGGGCTTGGTTTATTGCTCTCTTGATTGTCTGGATTTATGCACTTGATGGAGAGGATGCAAATTTAAGTTAAAAGTGTGTCATACATGCATTTTTTTTCAGACACCCAATTGTTATACATTTACCAGAACACACTTGGTTGTAAGAGTATTTATCATATTCCAAAATTTTCTTTCCTCTAAACTAGTTGCAGCATAGTCTTTGCGATCTTGACCGTGGTCCTTTGCTCCTTGATCACTTTTTTTTTCTGACTTCCTGCCAATACATTTGACTGGAAACTTCTGGATTTTGGATATGATATTCTTGTTTTCCAATTTGGGTTTTCCTTCATGAAGTGGTCAGTAATTTCTTTCTATTTCACTTTGCCATCTGGTTCTAATAGATCTGGGCAATTTCCTTTTATGATTGCTTGAAATATGGTATCCAGATCTTTTATTTGGTTATGATTTTTAGGGAGACCACTAATGCCTAAATTATCTTTCCTCAACTTTTTTTTTTAGGTCAGTTTTTTCGGTGAGTTGTATGCTTCCTTATTGTTTTGTACTTTGTTCTAATATTTCTTGTTATCTCATGGAGTCAACGAATTCTATTTTATCCATTCTATTTTTTGAAACTTCGCTACTTGGTTAAGGTTTTCCATATTCTGTTCTAAGATATTTATTCTTCTAATTTTTTCCCCTTGAGATTGAATTTCATTTTTTAAATGAATTTTAATTTCTCATGCCTTCTCTTAGAGTGCTTATAGACAAACCATTTTGTACTCGTGGACAAGCTTTATTTGTACTTGATGTGGGAATTTTTTTTTTCTGGGTTTACCTCTGGGAGTTCTTTTTACCTATAATACCATAATTTCACATTGCTATAATATTTTTTCATTGTAGCTAGAGTTTTTGGTTTTGTTTTATTTACTCATATCACTAGCCTCAGTTCCTAGAGTAGGACTTTTGCATGTAGTTGCATGTAGCTCTTCTTGGCTTTATCTCTTCACTATCCTGGAGGGCAGAGGCCCTGAACTTCTGGATAGTAGAGCTGGGACTGGGCCCCACCCTCTGTTACAATCCTGGGCTTGGCCTTTCCTCTATCTCTTTCTTTTTGCGTGAGCTCCAAGCTCTGTACCCTGCTGTGGCCCTAAAGGGTCCCAATCAGATTTCAGAGATAATGCTTGTCTTAGGTGTGATACAAGACCTACACACCTGGTGCTGAGCTGGCCCTGTCTCCTGCTACAGCTTGAACTTCCTTGAGGTTTATACTGCTCAGCCCCATCTCCCCGCATAGTGACCTGTGGGGGTTGGCTTGGACCAGTACAATTTCTCTGACAGGCCAGGGCTAAGATCTCATTGGCTTCAGGCTCCATGAATGGGAGCTCATGCTGGTTTCTACCTCCCATGACATATCCCCTCTTCTGGAAGCTGCAGGCTTCTGGCTGTCTTGTTGAGGAGATAATTGAGGAGCTTATTGGTATTTTCCTTTGGTCATCTTAATCACTGTTTAATCAGGTGCCCACTTAGATCTTTGCTGAGGTATTTATGGGTGATCTGGGTTCTTATAGACATTCCATGTCACCATCTTAACCAGAAGTCAGCATCTTTTATTTTTCATTGCCTTCGCTTCCAAATATATCTTCCTTCTCTCCCACTAAATAAAAAAGAGAGGCAAAAAGCAGTTAGTACAATTAACCAATATGTCAATCAAGTCTGATCATAGGTATGTATTGTTCCATACTTACAGTCCCCACCTCTTAAAGAAGGTAGGGAGGTAAATTTTCTTATCTATTTTCAAGGCCAAGCTTGGTTTTTTAACATTATACAGTGTTCAGATTCAATTTTTTTTTCTTTCAATTTACATTGTTAGCATGTATATTGTTCTCCTGGTTCTTCTTATTTCACTCAGCTTCATATGTCTTCCCACACTTCTCTAAATTCTTCATATTTATCTATTCTTATGCATGCACCTCAATTTGTTCTGCCTTTTCCCACCCGGTGGACATCTCCTTTTTTGCCTCCAGTTTTTTACTACTACACAAAGGGAACCCATATTGTAATAAAGGGAACGTGGTGGCATTAGGTGGCATATCAACTTCCCTTAGCCCCCAAAGCAGAGCTACTTGGTAAATACATCAGGTTGGAGTTGAAGGGGCTGGGAATTTGTGAGGAAGAAGAGGAGGAACATGATGAGACAGAAGCCAAGACTGTTAAGGTCTGACACTGTATTTCACTTTGTGTCTTCTGGGACAGGAGGATTCCCTACAATGTTTTTTCCAGCCCATGAAGTTGTCAGGCAAAAACAAGTGTTTCTGTGAGAATTGTGGGAAGATGACCTATTGGCAACAGGTAATTAGCCCTGAGTGAGTGCCCGCCTCCTTCCACCAGACTTTTTGTTATTCCAATGTCACCCTTGTTGAAATTTTAGGACATTCCTGGCTGAGGTAGAGTTTCCCTATAGTATCTTTGGATTCTTGAATTCATTCCATCTTGGGCCCCTGGACCCTGGCTTGATTAGTCTGAATCATGATCAATATGTCAATATCAAAATTGAAACGGATTTTTTGACAATTGTTGCCACAGTTCATCAGAGTACTTCATTCCCAAAAGAAAGGAATTTCAAAAGGGGAGAAGGGAGAATGAGGCCAAGGTTGGACTACCTCCACTAGATGTGCTGGACAAATTCCTACTATGACCAGAAAATAATTGAATTTGTTTAGTTGGGTAAAATTTCTAGCGTGGTAAAATAATACTGATCTTTCTTAAAATGCAAAAAGCACAGACTAGCTTGTTACAATTGAGTAGATGTCCCTTTGCTCCAATCCTGATTCATCTTGCCAAGGGGAATCAGTGGGATGAAATCCAACATTCTCATGCTGGGCTGACTTTTCATCCTAGTACCTTTCTTCCTCTAATAGTATGGACTTTTACTCTTCTTTGTTTCTACTTCTCAGACCAAGAAGGTAATCAACTTGCCCCCCACACTGACATTACACCTTATGCGATTCTCCTCCAAGAATTTCTCAAGGACTCAGAAGATCATCCACCCACTGAGTTTTCCCAAAAGCCTGGATTTCAGTCAGGTCCTTCCAGCAGTACAAGATTGGTGGGACCCTGAAGGACAGGTAGGGGATACTGCTAACCCTAGTCAGAGAAGTGATTCTTTTCTCCTGTTCATTTGAGTCTCTGGATTGAAGAACCCTGAAGATCTAGAAGCCTGCTAGAAAAGAACTGACCCACCCTTTCAGAGAGGACACCTTTGAGCATCTGCCTCGGTCTATATTTCCATCCCCTCTACCTAGTCAGTAATAATGGTCTCTGTTTGCGGAAGGGAAAGGGAATAAGCATTTATTAAGCAATGACTACATGCCAGGCACTGTGCTAAATGCTTTATCTCATTTGATCCTCACAACAACCCTGCAAGGTCAGTGCTATTATGATCCCTATTTTACAGTTGAAGACACTGAGGCAGACAGGAGTTAAGTGACTTGGCAAGAGTCACAGAGCTAGTAAGTGTCTGAAGTTGGATTTGAACTTAGGTTTTCCTAACTCCAGGCTCAGAGAGCCCTGTGCACTATGGCACCACCTACCTGCTTGTACTAATTAGGACAGGCAGTGGCCAAAACACCTGTTGGCTGCTTGGTATTATTTGTGGATTCATATCTTTCAATTAATAAGCTCTTCCATTAGTGTTGCTGCATTTGTATGCAGGAAGAATTTCTGTTTCTCAATCCCATTCCCTCTAAGCTCTACCGACTCTAAGAAGATACTTTCCATTTCTTTGGGGAAATGATCATAGAGACACAGTCTTAGAGCTGGTATGCACCTCCAAGATCATCTAGCCCATCCAACACTATTTTACAGATGAGGAGAAACTGGTATCTCCAGAAGTTAAGTGACTTGCCCAAGGTCATGCAGTTAATAAGAGGCAGAACTAGGATTTGAACTCAGGTTGTCTGACTCCACACCCAAAACTCTTTCCATCATAGTTATGCCTGGCTGGTACAGGAATTATGGATGCAACTAGAAACAGTGAAAATGTGTTGTTTTTAGAGGGACTGAAACTTTAAGTTACTATAGGTATCTCCTAGTCCCAGGCTCCCTGACAGCAGAATGTTAGCAACAACAACGGCAGTAGTAGCTAACATTTATGCAGTGCTTTAAGGTTTGGGTCAGTTGCTTGTATGCTTTTCTTATATTGTATTACTCATAATGTGCTTTATGTATGTACATATTACATATCTCATTTTATCTTCACTATAATCCTAGGAGAGAAGTGCTATTATTACCTTTTTGAAGAACATGGTATCATAGGGGCAGCTAGATGACTCAGCGGATAAAGCACTGGCCCTGGAGTCAGAAAGACCTGAGTTCAAATCTGGTCTCAGACCAGACACTTGATACTGACTAGCTGTGTGACTCTGGGCAAGTCATTTAACCCCAATTGCCTCATGTAAAAAAAAAAGAAAGAAAGAAAGAACATAGTATCAATAAACAAGCCAATTCTTACAAATCGTATAGCCCTTCTATATCCCCTGTGGACTATTGCCTACATGTCGCAGGGATACCTTATTGTGCTTTGTTTCCTTTCTTCCCAGCAGTATGAACTTTTCGCTGTGGTTGCTCACATGGGGACAGCCAGCTATGGACATTACTGTGCCTACATCTGTAATCCTGCTGATGGCAGATGGTTCTGCTTTAATGACTCCAATGTCTGCTGGGTAAAGAATCTGGCTTCTTACACTAGGTCAACCACACATTCAGAATATCCATACCATATCAATTGGAATTAGAACATACTAATGGAATAGGACCAATATCAGATGGGCTCATGATGCCAAAGATGTTTTGGGTCTGCTTTTTGGAATTCAGAGGGGTCCCTTTTGTGGTTTGGGAATCTTTTAAAATTAGAGTCTCTAGACCCTTTCCTGAGAAAGGCCCGTCTGCTGAATTTATCTGTTAGGGGCCATTTCCAAAGATATGAATATTTAGATTCATTGTCCCTGAACTTTGATGCATTTAGGGGGAGCATCAGGATGTCAGAAGAAACTGTGACAAAGAACTGTGTTATATGAATACTAATTGAAGTTAAGAACCACAGACTCAGATATTATATGATAAACAGACTAAGCAAACTGCTATATAGACAGAGTCAGAAAGGCTTTGCAGAAAGGACATCCTATAATTAGATGTTCCAGGGTCTTGAGATCATTAGTGGTGAATATGGTGGGAATGAACAAGCCTATGTTATGTAGGACCATGCTTTGTGCATTTAATAAATATTGACCATTTGGCTTTATCTGTTTGTGTTCTTGTAGGCAACGTGGGAAGATATCAAAAAGACTTATGGGAGCTATTATTTATCTTGGTAAGAAAAATATTTGTTTCATTAATTGTGCAAAAAGATTTGAGATTCCATAAGGTCCTTGGTGTTAATAGGGTCATAAACCCGAGTTTTTTGAGCAACAACTGGGCTGGGAACCTTATTTACTCTTCCATTCCTTCCCTTTTTGTGTATTATAAAAAACTGACAAAAGAAAACTCAGATAATGAATTGTAGTTGTCAATTTGCTATGTTAACAAAACATTGCAGAAATTTAACCTCTGTCCTACTAGCTGTCTCTCTTCTATTAAATGGCCATGGGATTCAAAAGGTGATCTATTATATATACTAAAAGTTTCTCTTTGGACTTTATATACTAGAGCAGAAATTATTCTTTATCATTCAGGGACCAGATAAACTCTTGAGTGCCCATTGTATGGGGTGGATGTGAGGGAATAATTTAACACTGAAGTGGGAGGGATAGCATTTTTGGAGGGGTTCTGGATTTTTAGGGGTGCCATTTTAGATGTAGGCTATATTGCCAAAAGATACAAATGAACAGGAGAGAAGAAAATGCTCCTTTGATTGGTGTATTACCAGTGACCATAAAAAATAATGCCTAGGAACTGGCTTGATATTAGCACTATACTATCTTCCTACGAACTCTTGTATTAACTGATTAAAGTTTTTCCCTCTATTCTTCCTTCTTAGGGGAGAAACAGCCTATCTTCTGGTTTACACAAAGACTGAGAGCTAGTTGCCTAGCTCTCCAGCCTCTTCCATGACTGTCAGATGATACCAGAGTCCTTTTCTACCTTCAAAATATGTTGACTTCCAAAAAAGGATTATATCACTATTTATAAAGCAATCATTTCCATGGGTAGTTCCAGGAGAATTCAATCCTGTTTTGTGCCTATATAATTATGTTTATTATAAAGCAGAGTTATTTCTTAAACTTCACTGAACTTGGTATTCCTTCCTTTTTCCCTCCTGCCTTTCTTTCTTCCTGTTTGCCTTCCTGCCTTCCTCAGAATTCCTACCTTCCACAAATATCCATTGAATACCTACTACATGAGAGGTACTGTGCTAGGTGTTATGATAAACAAACACACAGTTCTTGTCCTCAAGAAACTGAAAAAAAGATAGTGTCAACAGGCAATCACAACTTCACAAAATTTATGTGAAAAGTAGGTTTATTACAAGAGGAATGAACATGCATGTGGAACCCAAAGAGTTCACAATCTATACAGAGGTTTGCATATTTATGATAGTCCAATAAAGGAAGGAAGAGGAAACAAATCTCCACCTAAAGGGTGAGGCACGGGAGGGGGAAAGATGCAGTAAAGGTGGGAAAAGGACAAAACTTCTGCTGAAGGGGAGGAGCAAGGCAATGGCAAAAGCAGCATTCTTTTCCCTGGGGAGCTGCTAGACCATGAAGATAGGATGGTCTGCTTATTTATCGACAAGGGTCCCAGCTGCACAAGCAATTTCTCAGCCTGGTGCAGACTGACTGGCTCTTATCTTGACTCCCAAGTCCAGCTGGGATGCAAATAACAAATTATATCAGCTCCGGGGCACCTTTATCCTTGACATATGCAGGGCTTCCTGCATACTCCGGTTCATTGTTTCCGGAAAGTATGGCAACTCAAAAAGACGAGTTCAAGAAACTCCCTAAGATTCCTTACCACTACATACATCCCATCTGGTGATGGGAATTTCACCATTTGTGCTGCTTCTTTTCTCTACCATGAACAACCACATTCTAGACCCAGTGCTTTGGAGTCCATTCCTCAGCTCCAGAGGAGTTAATTTACTCAGCTCTGAGACTCTGACCTGAGGCTGAGCTATCCTAATCATTGAGTGACTGAGTGAAAGCTCACCTCAACCCATTATGAGTAGTTAGTTCCTGTTCATGCTTCACATCTCATTCAGCAATCCACCAGGACACCAGAGTCTATGCAGGGCCTTGCTCTTGACTCAGGAATAATAATCAAATTGATACTACCATCGCATCTGGAAAGGGTTTGACAATTTACTGCCATTTGGCTATACTTGATTATCAAAGCTTAATTGTGTGACCACCATTTGCCTCTATATGTTGTATTCCCCTAAAAGAATGTAAGCTCTTTGAGGGCAGAGTTTGTCTCACTTCTGTATTTGTATTCTTGTTGGCTAGCATTGTACATGTCACATAAAAGGTGATTAATAAATGCTTGTTAACCAACTGATCTATACAGAAACACAATAAAATAGTCAATGAAAAATGCCCTAAAAGGGCTATTAACCAAGTGCTACGGAGCACCTCCTTTTAAGGGAAAGGAAAAGTCACTTGTGGCTGGGTTGAACAGAGAGATATAGCATCTAACAACTTTGAAAAATGGGGAGGTCATACCAATTGGAGATGGTAGGGTGAGTATCCTAGATTGTGGAGATGACATTAGTAAAGGTACAAAAGTGCAAAAGGGAAAGGAGACTGGTTCAATTTGGCAAGAATGCAAGGTAACTGGATGAAAATGATAGGACTGGAAAAGGAGATAGGAGCCTTAATGAAGTTCAATTACATATCTATATATCTATATATATATATACACACACACACATACATATATGTGTGTGTGCATCATGCTTATTTATATGAATACATATAGCTACAGATATAGACATGTGTCTATATCTACCTGCAAACAAGTAAGTATGATATATAGTAGAATGAAGTAAAGATTAGGGCAAAGGAGAGGCCTGGAATAATGCTTATGTAGTACCTCTCTGGGGCCACTTCCCCAACTTCACTGACAGGTTGGGTTCTCAGGTAACTGAGATGACTCGTAAGAGGATAAGACTTCTATTACCCTTGTTCCCAAGCAAAAGTATGCTCATGTGCTTGCCAATGGCAACCAATCAGTTGACTCAATTAGCTTTTACAAACAAGCTCAAAAGGTACAAAAACATCCCTCAGTCTTGGGACACTCTCCTCTTGCACAGTGAGGTTCCTGGGGACAGTAGGATCAAAATTAAAGCAGATGATACAAAACATTCCTCCCCAAATAGGGGCACACTGTTCCTCTAAAAACACAAGGTGTCTGTGGGGAGTAGGTTCAAAATTAAGTCACAGTGGTAATGAGGTATACATGTAGAGAACATACGGGGCTGATGGTTACCTTGTGACTCCTGGCCCTGAGAGTTCTTTTCTCCATCAAGTTTGCTTCTGGACATGGCATTGGTGATGGAAGAGTTACTCCCTTGCTCAGCTTCACTGGCTCCTTATTGCTGGTTGAAAGTTCAATCACACTGTTAGACTGGTTCAGTCAAACAGCTTTCTTGGCTACTGCTGCTACTGATTCCAGTGGTCTCTGATATCAACTTCAGTTGCATGTAGGATCTCTGACAGTTTTCACAGATCTCCTAAACCATTGATCAACTGGGCAGTCCCTTCTCAGGATACTCATTCACCTAACAAAAATAAGGAACTAACACAAAAGAAACAAAGGTGACATGTGTTCATAGAATCATCTAAGGTCACTGGGGGCATATAATTTGCTGTTCCCCCACTCAGTGGCTAATAGTATTTCTATTTCCTTTATCACCAAGAAGGAAAAGAGCAAAAGGACCAAGAGAGGGGAATATTCCATGGTGTGTTCATAAATGTTTATTAACTGGCTTTATGGAAAAAAAAATGCAGGCATGATATACTTAAGTCCATCACTTTCTCAAGTCAGTAAATCAACTCCTGATTTGTAGCATTTTTCTATGTGTTAATACTCAGATCAAAAATTCAACAATCAACTCTTAAGAACTAGTTTGAATGGACTCCAGCACACCCTTGGATGTATTTATCCTTTTGTTTGTGAACTCAGTTTCATCTTATCAGTCCTTCTGGCTCCTCTTCCAATGAGATGATTCCACTCTACGGTACCAGCCCTTCAGTAATTTATGGCCAGAAGTAGGCCCATCAAGCTACCACGTGTTGGATCGGAACCAGGTAGAGTATTGTGGGTACTCTATGTAAACCACCAAGAAGGACAAATTGGAACCTGTTCTAAGGTTTGGGCCCTCGTTGGTCAATACTTTTCTACTTCTGAGAAAGTTTGAGGAGAGTTTGTTTTTAGCTGGAGGCAAGTTTTATGAAATTTATGCAATCTGAACTGAGTCTTAAAGGGAAGAAATGGATTCAGCAGGCAGAGGTGTAGAAGAGGTATTCCAGGCATGGGAGATGCTTTGCATTAATGCACAGAGGCAGAGGAGGGCAGGTTGAAACTGGAATACAGCTAGTTGTACAGTGGGATTGGAATTTAGAATCCACAGAGTATGTGAAAGCTAGAGACATGTAAAATAAGACTGGAAAGGGAGGTTGGAACAGCTCTGTGTAGGGCCTTAAAATGGAAGAATTTATATTTTATCCTTTGGGCAAAGGGGAGTGAGCCAGTAAAGATTTTTAATCAGGAAAGACTAATTCTGCAACTTTATGAAGGGCAGATTAGAGGGGAGGAGAGACTGAAGGGCTATTGCCATGATCTGGGTAAGAGGTCCTATAGCAAGAGAAAACAAGTATTTGTGTTTTCTGACCAGCTCCACTCGAAGTCATCCACCTGTTTTCATAGCAGAGGTTTTATAGATTTCAACATGCCTTTTATAGGTCCCCTTATGGGGACCCTATGATAGCCACCATCCTAGCTCAGGCCCTCATCAACCCTCACCTGGAATATTAGCCTTCTAATTGGCTTCTCTGTCTTATGTCTCCCCACATCCATACATTCTCCACACAGCTGCCAAAGTGATTTTCCTAAAATGCATGTCTGACCATCCCCTGCTCTAGCTACTCAATAAATTCCAGTGATACCCAATTATCTCTAGGTCAGTGGTTCCATTCCATGCAATAGGAGATAAGGCACATTCAGAAGATATCCCACGTGAAGATCACACCTTTGGCTCTCTGTCAAGCCTCCCAGCCCACACCTGAGTGGCACTAGACCTTTGCCTAAATTCCATTTTTCCTTGCTTGACTCTCATCCTTATTTTCCTTGGCCCCAGAAAGTATAATGGGTGGAAGTTATAGGGAGGTGTATTTCAACTTAATATAAGGAGAAATTTCTAAGAATTAGAACAAACCGTTAATCAGAGGAATAGGCTGCCTTGGGAGATATGTCCTTGGAGATCTTTCATTGCAAGCTGGACAACTAAGCAACAAGTATTTATTATCTTCCTATGGCATTTCAGGCACTGTGTTAAGTGCTAGACCACAAGTTGAGCATCACAGAATTTTTCATTTAGAACTTGAAAGGACCCACAAAAATGAGCTTAACCTCAACCCTGGGGAAACTGAGGCCAAGAGAGATCAAGTGGCTTTCAAAAGGATGCAAAGGTTGTAAATAAGCTGGAATATGAATCAGGGCTGTTTCCAAATCCAGGGCTCTTTCCATTGAACCATGCTATCATGTGGTTGAGAGGATTCTTACTTCAGGCAGGGGTTGGACAAGATGATTTCTGAGTTCTTTTCAAATTCTATTTGCAGAAAAAATATTTTCCTAAGATTTGATTATAGATTATAGAGGAGGTAGGTAATAACAGCCACTAGAGGGCTAGACCCAGAATGGGAAAGACTTGAATTCAAATCCAACCTCAGACACTAGCTGTGTGACCCTGGAAAAGTCACTTAACTTCTATTTCCCTTGGTTCCCTCAACTACAAAAATGGTGATAATAACAGCACCTACCTCCTAGGGTTGTTGTGAGGATCAAATGAGATGATATTTGTGAAGCATTTAGCACAGTACCTGGCTCATAGTAATCGTTATATAAATGCTTCTTCCCTTCCCTTAACTTCCCTTCCCCATTATAGTTCTTTCTAGGCAAAAGCAAATTGGCTATTTGACCAACTGATGTTTTATTCTGCCCTGGGACTTAGTGATTGTAAATAGCTATTTTTAATTATTAGCATTTCTCTTTTTACTGTCCTTTCAACTTTATCTTCTCCTCTCTTTCCCTGGTCAGCTATTCAGTGAAGGAAAGATGCAGCATGGTGAAAGTCAACAATTCAATTCAATAAGCATTTATTAAGCACCTACTATTTGCCAGGTACTGTGCTAAGCACTGGGGATACAAAAAGAGGCAAAGTAAGTTTTCTGTCCTAAAGGAGCTTACTGTCTAAGATAAACATGCAAACAAATATATACAGAACAAGCTATATACAGAAAAAAAAAGGAAATAATTAAGAGGGGTTAGGGAAGGCTTCCTGAAGCTGAGATTTTAGTTGGGATTTAAAGGAATCCAGGGAATTCAGCAGCTGGAACAAAGGAGGGAGAGAGCCAGGCATGGGGGACAGCCAGAGAGAATATCCTAGAGCTGAGATGGAATGTCTTGTTTGTGGAACAACCAGCCAGGAGGCTAGTGTCACTGGATGGAAGAGTTGTGTCAGAGAGTAAGGTAGGAGGGGGCTAGGTTATGAAGGGCTTTAAATGCTAAAAAGAACATTTTGTATTTGCTCCTGGAGGTAATAGGAAGACATTGATGTTTATTGGGATGTGTGGAATGTGTGTGTGTGTGTGTGTGTGACATGATTAGACCTGTGTTTTAGGAAAATCGCTTTATTGGCTGAATACAGGATGAATTGGAGTCTGGAGAGACTTCAGGCTGGCAGATCTACCAACAGGCTATTGCAATAAACCAGGCATGAGATGATGAGGGCCTGTACTCCACAGAGTGGTGACAGTGTCAAAGCAGAGAACGGGGCATATTTGAGAGATGTTACAAAGGTAAAATCAGCAGGTCTTGGCGACAGCTTGGATACGGGGAGTGAGGGATAGGGAGTAATCCAGGATGACTCCTAGGTTATGAGCCTGAGGGACCTGGAGGATGGTATTGCCCACTGCAGTAATAGGGAAAGTAGGAGGTGAGGTGGAAGGTTTGGGGGTGGAGGGAAGAAAATGAGATAAAGAAGTACTGGTCAGATAGATAGGAGGAAAGCCAGGAGAATGGTGAAACAGAAACCTAGAGAGAACATGGTATCAAGGAAGAGAGAGTAATCAACAGTGTCAGAGGCTGCAGAGAAGGCAAGGAAAATGAGGACTGAGAAAAGGCTTTGGATTTGGAAATTAGGAGATCATTAGTACAGAGCAGGAGACGCTAAAAGTTTCCTTTCTGTAGCTTTCCCTGGGTATAATCCCTATCTTTGTTACATCCTACAAGTACTACATACTTTGTATTTTCTTCTTCTTTTTCAAACTTTGATGTTAAGTAGTTCATCTTTTCAGAGTATATTTTACCAATACATTGTAATTTGTAGGATGGATGTAACACTATTTTAGCAACTTTTTTTTTAATGTCAAATTTTTTTTTCAATCAATGCAAATCTGCCTTCTCCTCTAATATTCTCCTCTGCACTGAGAAAGAAATTAAAAGAAAACCACCCTTTTACAAACCATGTATAGTCAAGCAAAAACAATTCTTCCATTATTGTCCAGAAGTAAAATATATTCAAACTGCACTGAGTCCATCACCTCTCTATTAGGAGATAGGTAGCATGCTTTATGAAGAGTCGTCTGGACTTGTGGTTGGTCATTATGCTGAATCAGAGTTCTTGAGACTTTCCAAGTTGCTTGTCTTTACAATACTGTTGCTGTTGTATACATTGCTTTGGTTCTGCTCACTTCATTTTGCATCATTTCACACAAGTCTTCCCAAGTTTCTCTGAAATCATCCCCTTCACCATTTCTTTCAGCTCAATAGTACTATATAACACTCATATATCATAACTTGTTTGGCCATTCCCAAATCAAAGGACACCTCTTCAGTTTCCAATTATTTGTTATTGTAAAAAGATATTTATTTTTGTATATGCTTAGAGGATTGATTTCCCGCCCCTTTCCCCCCTACTTTAGGACTAAGCCATCCTTTAATCTACTCTCTCCCTCTCTCTCTGTCTCTCTCTGTCTCTCCCTCTGACTCTCTCTGTCTCTGTTTCTCTCTCTGCTTCTCTCTCTCCCCTGCACCCCCAACCCCACACTTGTTGCTATAGGTTATATAGGGTAGATGGAGGGATTATCCTGGACCTTCTTTTCTCCCTCTATACTACTTCACTTGGTAATCTTATCAGCTCCTATGGATTTAATTATCATTTCTATGCTGATGATTCTCATTAAAAAATAATATATATATATATAATATACATAAAATTTCCTTAAATATTTCCCAATTACATGTAAATTTTAGTATTTATTTAAAAATTTTTTTGAGTTCCAAATTCTCTCCCTCCCTTCTGTGTCTCCCCCCCTCCTTGAGAAGGCAAGCAATTTGATATGGATTTTACCCGGGAAGTCGTACAAAACACATTTCCATAATAGCAATGTTGCAGGAGAAAACACAAACAAAAAACAAGAAGAAAAAATACAGTAAAAAAAGGTATGCTTCAGTCTGCATGCAAAGTTCGTCAGTTCTCTCCCTGGAAGCAGATTATACTGATGATTCTCAAACCTACAGTCTCCTGCCCCAGACTCTCAGCTGACCTCCGCTGTCCCATCTCGAACTGCCTTTCAGACAAGATAACGGTATTACTTCACCGCATTTCTCTCCATTTGGAAACAGCTAAATTTAGAAACATGCAAAATCAGCGTGGCCAAGTCGCAGTGAATTGATGTAGCCGGTGTTTACCAACCACCCAGCAAAAAAGAGGGTAAACTAGATGAATGAATGAACGAATGAATGGGAGCCTGAGCAGCCTCCAAACAGCCAATCAAAAAGCACTTAGGCCCTTTATGACTCCGGTTTACCCGGGGGAGTCGTTCAGTGATCAGCTGGTCGAGTCTGGAGTAAGATGGAGAAAATCCCCGTCCTGGGTCTCGGCACTTGGAAGGTAGAGCGTACTCCCATTGCCTTGGAATGGGGGAGGCTGGCCTGACCCGCAGAGCGGGCGGCTCTCGGCTCGTGCTGCCTGGGTTTTGGCCGCGCTTCGAGCACGCGGGTGGCTAGCCGAGGTTGGAGGGGGAGGCCGGGTCACCTGCGCTAGTTAGTCTCTCCTCCCCTCCTCCTTCCCCCTCCCCCTTCTCCCATCCCCTTACCTTCTCGGAGAGTCAGTTTCACCTTTGGCCGCCAGCGCAGGCGCCTGACTTCGGCCCCTGCTTATCTCTGTCTTTATTGATGTGAAATGGTTTGAAATTGTGTTTATATAGTTCCTGTATGCGTTATTTTTTTCTGTCCATAGTTATTCTCAATGGAATTTCTCTTTTTATCTCTTTCTGATGGGTTTTGTTCATAATATATGGAAATGTTGATGATTGGTGTGGGTTTATTTATAGATCTTGAAAATTTGCTGTAGTTGTTAATTATTTCAATTATTTTTTAGTTTACTCCAATTCTCTAAGCAAACCAGAATATCATATACAAAGGATGACACTTTTGCTTCCTCTTTATTTCCTTCAATTACTTTTTCTTGTTTATGGTCAATTTTGAATAGTAATGGTGACCATGGACATCTTTGAATCACCGCTGATGTTGTTGGAAAGATTTCTAGCTTATTCTTATTACAGCTTAATTTTGGTTTTAGATAGATATTACTTAAGATTTTAAAGGAAAGCTCAATTTATTCCTGTGCTTTCTAATTTTTTTTAACAAGAAGTAATATTGTATTTTGTAAAAAGCTTTCTCTGCACCTATTGCAATAATCATGATTTTTTTTGGTTTGCTATTAAATATAGTCAGTTATAATTAATGGCTTTCCTAATATCAAACCAGCCCTTCATTTCTGGTATAAAGCCAGTCTAGTCATAATGATATATGATCTTTGTGCTATATTGCTGTAATTTCCTTCTTGTATTTTATTTAAAACATTTTTAAGTCAATATTCATTAGGGAAATAGTTCTATAATTTTCTTCTCTGTTTTGACTCTCCCTGGTTTAGGTATCAAGATCATATTTGTGTCATAGAAGGAATTTGGTAGGATTCCTTTTTTACTTATTTTTTAAACAGTTATGTAGTTTTGGAATTCTATTTTTTTTTTTGGCTGGGCAATGGGGTTAAGTGACTTGCCCAGGGTTACACAGCTAGTAAGTGCCAAGTGTCTGAGGTACGATTTGAATTCAGGTCCTCCTGACTCCAGAGTGGGTGCTGTATCGATTTCACCACCTAGCTGCCCCTGGAATTAATTCTTTAAATATTTAGTAGAATTCATTTTTAAATCCATCTAGTCCTGGGATTTTTTTCCTTTGGGAGTTCAATTTCTTTTTCTAAGATAGAATTGTTTATATTTCCTGTTCTGTTAATCCCTGCAATTTGTTTTTGTTATTGTTATTTTTCTTTCATTCTCAAAGAGGACCATGACATCAAAGAGGTTGATGGGGGCAGGGCCCAAGCCAAGATCTTTGCCCCAAAGGGAATCTGACTCACAGGCCCCAGACTCTCATCTCCCTTGAAAGCCCTAGCTTACCTTTAGATCTTATTCAGATGCACCTTCAACCCTTGCCCTGAATAGAATCTGGCTCCTGTTTGTCTACAGGACCCAGAAAACCCTTAAACCTTCAAATTTCCTAATTGACTCCCCTCATCTCCCTTTGAAAGCCTTAGGCTCCCTATTGTCTATAAGCCCCAGAAAGGCCTTCCCCTTTATCTCCTTTTGAAAGTCCTAGCCCCACCTTGATTTTGTGCAGATGCCTTTCAAACTTCTGCCTTCCTGTTCCCTCCATTATCTATTCCCATTGTCTATTCAATCTCTCTGACCTCCCCAATTAGAATTCTTACCTAGACCCATTTCCCAGCCCCCTTCTCTGGCCACCGAAAGTTACTTTAGTATTTAAGATCCACCTTGGCCCTCATTCAGATGCTGAGAATCTCATGCTCAAAAGGTTGAGACCCTCTCATGCCTGCTAGTCTTTACAGGCATCACCTGGCTGAGAATCTCAGGCCCACAAGGCTGAGAACCTCTCATGCATGCTCGCCTTTATGGGTGTCACCTGGTCAATGTGACTTATCACTAATAAACTTTTCCTCTGGCTGAAGAAGATTTGAGTTGAATTCATTCAGCAGGGCCCGGTACCACGATCTTGGGGTCCCAGCACCCCAAAGTCCTAGTCCTCTTTAGAGGTGATGCCATGACATGTAAGTGAATTGGATTTAAGTGAGGGAGGGCTGTGCAAAGTCACCAGCTTCACTTTCTCCTCTGGAGCCATCTGGGTCCAGTGGCAAGATATAGATCAGGACCACTGGAGATGGCCCTGGATTCAGTGGAAGACATTGGCCTTTTAAAGTGGTCTTAAACAGGTCTCAGTTTGGCTGAGGCAACACTCATTTAGTGATCAAGGCTAGGTAAGAAATGAGGTAGAGAAATGAGGTCTCTTTTACCTAGTTGAAAAAAAAGAAATCTATCTGACCAAGCCCCACTTGGTCATTGTTTGGGCCTTGATTGCCTCAGAGTGAATGTAAATAGCAATTGTTTCTGTTTTGGCCAGAAACCCTAAGGGTCCTCCCCTCTATGCAATTTATATTTTTGTAAATATTCATCGATTTAATTTCAATTGTCATATTTATTGGCATATAGTTGGTTGAGTTGAGTTGACCTGAGTTCAAATCTGGCCTTAGGCCAAACACTTGACACTCATTAGCTGTGTGACCCTGGGCAAGTCACTTAACCCCAATTGCCTTAAAAAAAAAAGATGACAGAGTGAGAGAAAGCATTTTTGCCTAGCTCACCCAGACTGAATTCTGATCAGAAAAGCCAAGAAGAAGTCACAGAGAGTCATTTTTCCAGCCTAGGGCAGCTAAGGGAGACAGAGAGGTCTTTGCCATAAAGTATGAGAGCTGTCCAAAATAGTTCTCGTGGAGGCAGCAGAGAAAAACTTTCCAGCGCCTAGGGTGGGCCTGCACAACACATGGCCTGCGGGCTGCTTGCAACCCACCAGTGGATTTTGGGAGGCCTGTGAAAAATGTAGAGATTATAAAAGAAAGTAAAGATGTAATGAGTGCTTTGTCTGTGCCCTGCTTAACCCACCTTCCACTAGTCATTGTTGTACCCTTCATATAACTTAGAGGGTGGGTTGCCGCTGTGCAATCTCTCCTGTTTGTCACGTGACCTGCCGCAACCAACCATTGTCAGTCTGTCTCTAATCTGAGAGGAGCAAGAGTCATATCTTTTTGCTCTGTTTTTGGTCATTACTGGCGTTGAACAGGGACAAAGTGAGTGCAGCCACACTCCAATGCAGCTGACTCCTGCTATTCGATGAGCAGCAATAATGCAGGGGCATCTTCCCCTCCCTCGCTGTACGGCCGCCCTCCAAGTTACGTGAACGTCTGGCGCTCTCTCCTAGGTCAGACACTCAGTTCAGTATTTCTTTGTATGTGAACAGTTGCTGTGAAGAGTTTTTGGTTCTAACATTAAAGTTTTTTTGGGGCAACTTTGTAAAATGGGTGATAAAACAGAAGATTGAATCAGAACATAGAGTCTTGGGGCAGCCAAATGGCACAGTGGATAGAGCACCGGCCCTGAAGTCAGGAGGACCTGAGTTCAAATCCGGCCTCAGACCAAACACTTGACACTTACTAGCTGTGTGACCCTGGGCAAGTCACTTAACCCCAATTGCCTAAAAAGGAAAAAAAATACAAAAAAAAAAAGAACATAGAGTCTTTAATCCAGAGTGGACAAATAGATACCTGTTTACAGGAGAGACAAAATATTGTGCCTTGTTTGCCGTGCCGTTCCAAAGGCATACAATCTTCATTGCCATTTAGAACCAAAACATCTTAACTTATGCAAAGTGGACACCAATTAAAAACAAATTAAAGCATCCAAATTGTTGAAAAATTTCATTGGGGAACACCAGTTTTTCAAGAAAGTAAACTCAGAAAACGAAGTGGCTACTAAGATTAATTTTCAGATTTCTAAAGAAATTGCTGCTGCTGGGAAGTCTTTTACTGAAGGTGACTTCATAAAGAAGTGTTTGCTGATTGTAGTTTCTTGATTATACCTCAATAACAAGTATTTTTGAGAAATAGTTTAATCATTAATTATACCTTTACTTGGAAAGTGAAACACTTAAAACCTATCTTCGGCCCCGAAGAAGTTTAACCTATTTTAATTTTGTCTTCTACCTACTGCCAAGTTGTACAGGTATCACCTAGGGACAGAAAGGGGCCGAGACAAAAAGTACCAGGCCTGAAAGAGATCCCAGAGGCTATGTGAACTAGCACTGAGTGCAGGAATGGGTACCATCTAGCAGCTTTGTTGGCCATCACTCAGTTTCTGGGTCAAAGATCCAGGGAGGAGAGGTGTGTTCACAAGGTATCCTAGCTATGCATGGAGCCAGGAACAAATTTTGGAAGCACAGCAATAAAAATTACATTCAGTAAAGGGCCTTTGAAGCATAAATTAAAAATTAATTAGAAACTAAATAACTTTATCCTAAAGAATGAATGGTCAATGAATAAATTACAGAATCAATAATTTCCTTATAGCTAATGGCAACAATGATATGACATACAAATTATGATTGCCTCACCAAAAAGCAAAAAAAAAAAAAAAGAAAAAGGAAGTTTTGGGGTCATTAATAGCTATGTACAATTTCTCAAGTGAAATCTAGTCTACTTTTCCACCTCCTGTTCAATCTATATGTAGGTTCAGTCCAACATATGGGTACTGATGGACCCAGCTAAATCTGTGCAGTGTCTAACTCAGTGAATGTCATAGTCTGGATGATAAGCATTCTTTATTGACTTGGTTTTCCTTGAGTGGCTAGATAGAATTCTTCTTTTGGTTGGCTAGGCAATGGGGTTAAGTGACTTGCCCAGGATCATACAGCTAGTAAGTGTCAAGTGTCTGAGGCTGGATTTGAGCTCAGGTCCTCCTGACTCCAAGGCTGGAGCTCTATCCACTGGGCCACCTAGCTGCCCCTAGATAAGAATTCTTTAATTAAAGTGACTTTGGATTTCATTTTATGGTAATTTTCTGGGACTTGATGCAATCTGCTAAATGTCGTCCACAAATATGAACATCTGGAGACATTGCCATTTATACGGAATCTCTCTTTGATTCAGACTTTGTTGGTCATCTTCCATGTCCCTCCATGTCAGGACTGAACCTCCTTGCCGAGTCTACATATCACAGTTTTATACCTCAATAAGCAGGAGGTACAGCTAGGTGGTGCAGTGGATGGAGCACTGGGCCTGGAGTCAGAAAGGC